CCGGGGCGCAGGGCCCCGCCGTAGCCGCCTACCACAAGCAGGTGTCCCTGTCGCACGTGTAGAAGGCCGCGGCCTGGAGTGAGGGGGAGGGGTGTTTTGTTTGGAAGCTTTGCCAAGGTCACTTCCGTTTACCTTCCTGGTGCTGACGCCCCCTCCTGGGCCAAGCGGGAGCGAGGGGGAAAGGGCCCTTTCAAGGGAGTAGCTGTCCCGGGACTTCTCAGAGGGGCTCAGCTCACGTGTATTCTGTTTTGCGTTTCTTGCTGCCTTCTTTAAGAGAACTCTGTTTTTAATTTAATATGTATTTTTTCTTAATTTTTAACTTTGTTGCATTTTGGCAACAAAATTTACCTTTGCTTTGGGGGCTTTACAATCCTAACATTGGCATTATCATGAAGTTCCACTTGATTGAGGTTTCTTTGAACTGTGTGGTCTGAATTGGAAAAATATATTTCCTATATTTGTGTCTTTTTGACAAATGTGAACAGTGAAAGTGTGGGTTACTATGACTGAGAAATTGATGGGTGTGCTTTTTCAGCTTGTTTCTCCTCCCGCTGCTGGCAGTGTCCAAGGTGTTTTAAGGTGAGCTGCTTGTCCCTGTTTATGAAACTCCAGGTCATGCCAACGAGGGCAGAATGTGGTTAGGGCCTCCCCAAAGTGGCAAGGTTAGGGAGTGTCAGCGACTTTGTTTTCATTCTAGCTTTGTTTAGTGAGCTTCGGGCGTTTTTTCTGTAGTACTTGTAACCATTCTTATTCTTAGCAGCACCAGCTTTTTGAATAAGTTAGAGGTAGCCCTCACAGCGCCCAGCAGAAATATTTGGAGTAGTGAAGACCTATGGGATGGAAATTGGTTGAGCTTGAATTCTAGACTGATAAGATGGCAGCTCTGTGCCAGAGGAGTGGGTGGTTCTTAATAGGCTTCAGTGATCCCATCTTTTTTTTTTTTTTTTTACAAAACAACTTGTGCTATAATTTGGTAAAAGTAAACTCACTCCTTCTGGAACTACTTAGTGATAGTTGCTAAAGGGGGCTGTTTGTAGGTTTAAGGACTAAAATGGATATACCTCCAGTAATTAAGTAAATTTCCAACATTTACTTGCTCCACCCCCACTCCACCTCCTTTATCATGTTAAACAGTCTTTTTGCTTTTCTTTTGCCTCCTCCAGGAGAGCTGTGATTAGAAACCACACCCACCCTCCAACGAGGTGCTTGAACTGGGGGAGGGAAGCTGGCTACCTGTGAACAAACATTGGCAGCAATGAGAGAAAATAAATGTCCCTGGATTTTGGATTAGTGTACAGCCAGATATTCCAAAAGCGGCAAGACATTCCTCTCTGAGGTCTCTGAAAACAATTGAGGCCCATAACGCACTTGCATTAGGTGTACCGCTGTAGCAGGAGGAAAGCTGTTTCTCCAGCCCCCGCCTCAAGTACATTTTTCTTTCCCCCTTTTTCTGAGAAAGCCGATGAGTTGAACGCATACATACACTTTGCTGTAAGAGGATTCTGTTTGCTTTCCTAACTTAACCATTCATATATGGAAGCCTATATGATGAGTATATACACAGATTTCTTTACTATTAGAAAATTCTGTTTACTTTCCTAATCTGTTGAACCATTCATTCATGAAGAGTGTGAGGCCGTGACTGGGGAAGAGGGTGATGGTACATTGGCCAGCAAAATACCAATGACCAAGGTTGAGTGGGGACTAAATTTAGGAAGCTAAAATGGCAAAAGCAATTAAAATTTGAGAATGTCTCCCTAGGGAAACACGTCTAGGGAATTTATGCTTCATTTATACCAAAGTTGGAAAAGTAAGATCGAAGCCCAGTTTAGTTTCTACTTCATGGATATTAAGTAAACAAATGAATAGTTCCCATAGTGAATTTAAACACTTTGCTGGGGGTGTGGGGAGCCTGGTATTACGGTTTTAAGGACTCTCAAAAGCTGTTCAGTTACAAAAATGCACTGCTCTTACATACTCAAAATTGAATCAGTTCTCAGTGGATTTGACAAAACCTAGTATACACAGCTTAGAGAACTTTTTGCACATCTTATTCCTCTGCTTATTCAGATGTCTCAGAACCTTGAGATAATTCCCAAGAGCCCATTCTTCTCCCGTTTTTCAAATGAGGACCTTTTCTGAGCACCTTGACCTCTTCCCACACTTAGTATATTTTCCCAGAAAGGGCAGATGGTTCTGTTGTCTTCAGTCACTGTGCCTAATTTGGATTGTCCCCCCTGCCCTTTTCTTTGTGGAGGAATCTAGAAATGATGCATAGTGTATCTAAAAGTTGTGGGATGAGTGGATGAAAGTAATTCTTCATTGAAAATTTTTTTTCATTTTGGCAACATGCCCAACTTAAAAAGAACCACCAATTTACTTTAAAAAATAAGACAGTTAACACAAAGCATACTAGGCCCAGGAAAGGCAATACAGGTAATGCTTTTTGGGGTCTACTTTCAGAGCTGCCTTTTGGTTTTCAGTCTGTTTTCAGCCTCGCTCTCCTCCTTTCCCTCCAGGATAAAGCCCACCTGCTTCCCTGAAATCTCACTAGTATCTACCACCCCAACCCCTACCCAGGGGAGAGCAGCCGAGCTATTTATGGTCATTCCCTATTTCCAACCAGCACATTATCCCCCCCCCATTTGCATTTTTATTATGCAAACAATTCATACTCATGAGAACAGTGATAAAATGAAAGGTCGTGGGGTGGTTTAGCAATTTCTTCCCAGCTAGCTTTGTGAAATTGGAGAGGACTGGGACTTCTTTTGGCCTCACATGTGCAGCCTTGGGGCTGTTCCTTTAACAGTGCAGTTTTAAGCAATGTCATACTTCTAGGTTAGGGGGGTGAAGATTTAGAAGGTTGTCCAAAGGAACTAATGTGACCTCTCAGTGAATCAGTTGTCATGACCTTAATTTATATTCTTTCCCTCCTCACATTTTGAAGTTGTCTAAATCGACAAATAATTTTTCTTGGTGCCTTATTGGTTTATCCTTGCAAACCTTTTGTCATATTTTCACCTGACCACTTCTAATGACGGGCCTGTGCAAGTGTGTTGTGTGTAATTGTGCGCATGTACAAGCTTAAATAATGTGCCGACAGCACTGTTTCCAAACTGGTATTCATTAGGCTGTTTCCTCCTGGGCCAGGGCTGCACTAATCCTGACACCGGCCGCCAGGAGCAAGCCTCATGGATCCCACACCGAACCTTAATAACAGCATCCGTGACCTGCACTGTCAAGAACAGAATGGGACCCCCAGAGCTAGGAAATGTAGTTGTATATTTTAATGAACTGCTACCCCTGCTAAAGAGGCTTCTTTCACTTTTGTGCTCTACAGAAAAACCAAGGGGGGTAGAAGGGACAAAGCTTTGAATAACTGCTTTCTAACACCGAATGTGGCAAACAGGACAGAGCACATCACAAATCCAGGCAGGTGTGAGGTAGTGTAGCTGAGATTTGCCTGCTCCCTCTGCATGTCCTTTCTTGCCTCCAAAGTCTAATCAAGTGATCTTGGGAAAGAAATGCCTGAGTTGGGGAGGGTGGTTCTGAAAGAAAAAGCTACGAAGACATTAAAGCAGGGTGAGGAGTAGGCAAGTCGCTAAGAAACCTGACTCAGAACTCGAAAACCTTCTAGCAGCTTGATGACAATTACAGGATTGATTTCAGCCAGGGTAATGCCTGGGGTACATCATTTTATGACAATATTGCTTCATGTTGTTATAAACTGTATGTATAGTATGTATGTGATATGGGTGTGTATATACATAATATATATTAATAGTGACTTTCGATACGGGTTTGGTGCAGGTGAATTTATTACTGAGCCAAATGAGGCACATACCGAGTCAGTAGTTCGAGTCCAGGGCATTTAAAGGGCATTTAATACTTTTTATGATTTCCATATATGTATAGTGCCTATCCCATTGCAGTAGCTTCACAAAGACATCTCCAGAACTCATGAATCAGAGCCAGCGATATTTTGTTTGTAGACAATCAACTTGAATCTATAAGTTATTACTGGCAGATGATTATAATTGAGACCCTAGCATTAACAAATGGAAACCCAGAGCATCTTGAGTTCTTTTTTTTTTGTTTTGTTTTGATCCTGGAAGTCAATAGAACAGCTGTGTATGTGGTTATGTTAGTCTCATGATAATTTGCTGACCTTATTATTTCAGAAAAATTTTGTGTGTATTATATTTGTGGGAAGGTAAAATAATGCTTTGAGATTTTTATCAAATATGGAGAGTAGTTATTTATGAAAAACAAAGAAATGTCTATTTTTGTTTCTTTGTTCCCAACTAATGTAGATAAATTTTAAAGTGCATTAAAGCAATGGTAAAGAAAATGAGATGCTGTACAAGTCTTTTTCTCCTCATGCTTCTATGGAGACACACTGCTTTCTAAAAATATCTGAGGAGATACATCGATTCCAACTTCATAATCAGATTTCTCAGATGTACTTAAAATATAAATGGTAATGTTTTTATTAATAAGAAAATCAAGCAAATTCCAATCACCAGAAACAGAACTAATGGAAACTTGTTTTACTTGAATATATTTCATGGGTTTCTCCTGCTGATCCTGTTATTATTTCATGACTCACTTGAAGAAATGAAGGGAAATACATGGAAGAGCAGACATTGCCTGAGACTGTTCTATCAACCCTCCATCTATACTGTATACCAGCGATTTTTTATCTCATGGCACACATAAATTACTCAAATTTTTGGCACACCAAAAATATGTATTTTGCCAATCTGACAAAAAATAGATATAACCTTGATTAATTTACCAAACATAATAATAATTATCTACCCTTTTTGCTCCAAAGTTGACTTTTAAAAAAATCAGATGCCTATACTTGTATATAAGAATTTCTGGTACCAAGAATTAACCAATCAGATGCAACCTTATTATGACCAATAAGATGCAACTCTATTATATGACCTATATATTTATGGTTCCAGAGAGGGTATTGACACCAGACAGCAATTGAGTTGGCTGTTGTCATTTTTTTATCTGACAGTCTAAGAGAAAAGAGGTCAGTGTCCCTTATTAAATAGTCAGGTATTAAATGCTTTAACAATTCTTATGGTTCACCAGTTGAAAATTGCTGCTCTATACCAAACCTATAGATGTTTGTGCTGTTTTTCTATGGGTCTGGTTGGGGAGCAGGAACTCCCCAAACTATTCCATCATTCACCAGTTAGAATCACAACTTGATATTAAGCCATAAATACAAGTCAGGAAACCCAGATAAGAGTTGATTTAGAGTTGGCACCTTGCTGATAATCTGGGCAGATGCTTTGTAAACCTGAGATACTGTTGTCAGATTTTCTTACTTGCTATTTTGGCAAGTTACAGATTAGCTACCAATCTACCTCATGTGAATGCCTGGTATGTCTGTTCCCCAGCAGTGCACTGAGGCATAAATATGGGAGAAGATAGGTAATTAGGAGCTTATGTTTAGGGGAGATAAGTCCAATATAAGAGTATATATAACTCAATGTCAAAGTGAGTGCTGGGAACATGATCAGATTGGTTCATAAGTTAGGGCATTTGGGAGAAGAGAGGATACAGTGTTGAGCTGGATCCTAACAGAAGAGCATCTGTACCTGCTTGTACAGGACTCTCCAGTTGGCACCTCTTCCCAATGCTTTCTCATTGCTCATTCCCCTCCTCCTCCGATGGAAAGGGAGGAAAGGGCAAAGTCACAAGCTGGAGCAAAGGGACTGTTGGGACTTAGACGCTGGAGAAATAGGTGGGCCCAGTGCATTACTGGTAATAATGCTTCCTTTAGTGATTTAATTACAGAGCTTTTCTGTTTGTCATGAGTGGAAACATGATTGAGAGGCAGCAGCATGTTTATGTGCATAGACTTGGGAACTAGACTGACTAGGGAATCTAATCCCAGTCCCACCATTTAAGGGCTGTGTGATCCTGGACATTTTAACCTGTTAGTACTTCAGTTTTCTCATCTGCGGGAGGGTAATAATAATACTCATATCTTGGGATTTAGAGGATCTAAAGGATTAAATCAGGTAAGGCAAGGTCAAGGTAAAGCAAGGTAGAAGACACTGTTCAGGCAAGGAATGGAAAGGCAATTGAAACACTAGATTTCCAAATTTGAGTCTGTGTAAGAATCATTTGGGACTACTGAAAATTTAGATTCCTAGGCTTCAGCTTTAGGAATTGAGATTTGGTGGATCTGGGGCCCAAGAAACTGCTGCTTGCTTATCTTTTTTAGGTTTACAAAATAGTTGCAAAGATGATTCAGAGTTCCTATATACCGTTTCCCCCTAATGTTAACATAGTATAGTACATTTGTCTAAACTAACAAGTCAACATTGGTTCATTACTCTCCAGACTTCATTTGGATTTCACCAGAATTTCCACCACGGTTCTTAATCAGATTCAGGATCCAATCCAGGATTCTACATTCCATTTAGAGAAACTTTCACAGGCACTTGCAGTTGATGAGAGGTGGTCTGGGGACATCTTGAGAAACGCTAGATGTAAAGTACTAAGCAAAGTCAAATTGCCCCATCCCAACATTGGGGAGATGAATGCAGTGTTTTTTATTTCAGAGAGGGAGAGGGAGAGATAAAAACATCAATGATGAGAATCATTTATCGGCTACCTCCTGCACGCCCCCTACTGGGGATCGAGCCTGCAACCCGGGCATGTGCCCTGGTCAGGAATCAAACTGTGACCTCCTGGTTCACAGGTCAATGCTCAACCACTGAACCGCGGCAGCCGGGCTGAATGCAGTTTTGAGGCAGAAGATAAGTTGGTGCAGGGTGTGGATATAGGTGTTGATTTTAGAATTGGGGTGGAATCCCCTCGGTTAGATGAGGGGGTCACTTTAAGAAGCAAGACTTCTATTCCTAATGCCACAGGAAATGAGTTTTGGAGTTTGGAATGTGGGGATGTTGCCTAGACTGAGGAGATACATCTAGGGTTGTGGGCAGCTCAGGGGAGTCAGCAAGTGCAGTAAATTGGGAACAGCTGCTTTGGGGGACACAGGAAGACTCAAATAGGGGATTAAAGAGGATTACAAGGGGCGAGATAACCTGTGAGCCATATGAAACTTGTATTTGCTGGAACCTGGTGATAAGGCTTTGGAAAGGGGTCACAGTAGTAACCAACATCAAGTGCTGCCCAGTGGACATTAGCAGGTTAGAGAATAAAGGCAGAGAGGATCTGGTTGAGGGTGAGCCCTCACCTGCAGTGGGAGGGGACAGAACATGGAAGCTCTGCCTTTGGGAGAGTCCGTTCCAGTGAGGCGGTAAAGGGGCCACCGTTTGGGCCTAAAAGTAAAGATTAGTAGAAGTGAGAAGAGGAAGATAAAGTAATGTTTCAAGAAAATGCTAGCAGAATCATTTGAGGTCTTGAAATAAAATATTGGTAACTTCTGATGCTATCAAAGAATTTCTCTAACCATTCAAATTACTTAGCTCCCTTTACAAGTTACAATAATCACTAAACTTGTTCCTTTTAAAAATATTAACCTTTTTTATTTGATTCTGGATTCCTCTTAATTTCTAAACTATTTCACTTTCCTAGTTCTTTCTGCACCCTAGAGATCCTAAACCACAAACTGGTTTTCTTAGAATTTATTTCACATGACATGGCCTCTCCTCTGACAGCCCCATTTAAAATAGCCTCAGAAACCAAGCAGACTGCGCCTCTGCTCTGGGGGGAACAGGCTTTGCTGAAGGGCTCCAACATGCTTTGTGTTGCTTGCTGGCATGGTGTCAGGCTGATCAGGCCGGTGAGTGGGCTAAGTGAAGACTATAGGTAATCTAATCCTTCGCTTGTTGATAGACGCTAGTATAATCTGCAGATTCTGCATTGAAATGAACACTTACCTGGAGATTTCTCTGCCGGCTGTCAAGTGCTTTTCCAAGTAGCTCTGTACTCGAGAATGCAGCTTCTGGGAGAGGGAACAGGCTAGTCATTTTAGATGTGGTCAGGGAGAAGTCTTGGGTGATGAAAGATTTTTGCTAACTTACATGCCATAGCTAAACATTTCCAAAATCACTGCATTACCCGAATACAGAGTGATTTCTTTTCTGGTAAATACTGGCTTCAGCATTTTTTTTTTAATCAAGGAATAGTGTATTTATAGACATAGGAAAACTCAACCAAGAAATGAACCATGAGCTGTCATAAAACCAGGATTCAGTGCTGCTGGGCTTCAATAATGTCTGGGCATACGGGATATAATAAGAGTAAATAATCTGGAATCTGGTCCAGCATAGAAGAAATTTCTCTTTAAACAGAAACATTGGGCCTTAAGTTGTTTTAGGATGAACCATATGAAATTGCTGAAAGGAACCATCCTGTAATTCCTTTCTCTCTGGGGTGTTTACCTCATTTTACCTTCCAAGTATTAGCACAATAATGAATTATTCACAGATGTCATCTAATGCACCATGCCAGTGATTTTAAGTGTAATAAATTATCTTTAGGTTGAAAAGAGCAAAAAACAAATAAATGACTACATCTTAGAGGCAAGGGTCGAACCATCTATGGTCAGTTTAAAAATGCTTTAAGGCCTCACTATCAAAGCTGATGGGAAACATGTAGGTTAGGCAGAGACATAATGCTATGTGAACAGGGAGAAGTGTTACAAACATACTAGCCATGTTTTAATTAAAATAGGGTTTATTAGCTTTTCTTTTAATATAAACATGAGAAAAAACCACATAAGTTGTAGCATTCTTTTCAAAATAAAAATTGCAATCAATACTTGAATCTCCAAGCTCAGAACTCCATAAACAATGTTTTTTTGAGGTGGTAGATTGTAATATTTTATATACCATTATTTTTTGTTTTTATCCTTTTAAGTGATGGAACCTGCAGCCCTCAATATAATGTGAAGCCTTGCTATACTGAAAGTATTCCTTGGCCTAGAAATGCTTTGTTTATAGGCAAAATTTCTAGGAATACATTTGAGAAGGTAGGAGAAATATTTTAAATAGTTGAGAACATTAATCTTTAAAAGTATTTCAAGTTTAGGCGACATTTTACCAATCTCCTAAAAGATTGATTACTTAACTCCCTGCCCTTTAAAGCCTGAGGTAAGAGTTCCTAATATTTGTATATGCTTCCTCTTAAATAGCAAGACTTACATGGGACACCTACAACCAAGTTAATATGTAGGATAGAAAAGCTGGTTCATTCACCTGTTTTCATAACACTACTATTAGGGTCCAATTCAATTTATTACATCTGAATAACACTGCTCCTCATAATCTTCCTTTACCAGAATTTAGGGAAACAAAACAATTTTGGTGATCAAAGCATGTATATAGCACAGATCTGCAAAGATTTCTTTTAAAGAGGAGGGCATTCCTATGAAGACACAAGTTATCTCCTACAGTGTTAGTGCAGTTTTAAGCGGTGGTACTTGTAGTATAAATGCTACAGCCTTACAACACATTTGAAAGTTTAAATGTCTCTTAAACTTAGTTTTGTGTATTTTAAATATTAAGCTTTTAATTTTTTGTTTCAATCCCCTCTAAAAGATGGCAAAGATAGGCTGAACCAAAAAATTAAAATTTAAATAAACTTTTTGGTTTCAGCCAATCTTTTGTCATTTCATAATTCGCTAAACTAAATAAGCAGGATATTGTAGAAATCTTTTTGTCTCTATTTTTTCCCCTCTGTCTACAATGTGGACATTTAATCTGCAGCTCTGGCAGTTTTATGGGAATTTTGAGAATGGGTATTAAGGAGGGTAGAGCAGAAGTACAGAACAAATATACACCTCTGCTGATTTTATGGAATAGCCCTAACAATTCTTGTCTTCCTGCTTCCTATATTTTTTTTATATAAAAATGAAAATAAACTTATTGGTGAAAAAAACCAAAAAACTAAATGAGAAATTTAAACTTTCAAATTAAAGTCTGTAGCATTTATACTTCCATAGGAGTGCCCTGGAGGGCCCAAGCACACTATTATCTAAGCTTAGAATTGCACTTGGGGAACACCTATTTCATTATCTGCTTATTATCACTGGACCACCATGTTGGTTGGAATTATGAAAATATCTTTTGATACATTTATTTAACAAAGAAAATCATCAGAAAATGAGAAGAATCATTATAGTTGTTTTAAAATCCCATTATAGTTCTTAAGATATGCAGCATGGACCCAGTCTAAATAGATAATCAATACTGACACTTTCTCTTATCCCAAACATGCTACTGTGTTAATAAGTACTACTTGCAAAGAATTTGAATGAGAAGTGTTATTCAGCAGCTTTTTGATTTAAACTGTTTGCCAATAATGACTAGCAATTTCCACCATGTAATATGAAGAATCCTTTAATACCTAACAATGCTACAGTCTGTTCCTAAGTGGCTTTGTGAGTTGTTAGGCGTCCCATGTTTTAATGGTAATACTGCACTGATTGTAAAGGAATATGTAGCAATATTGGGAAGGTTTATTCCTTTTTTGGAGGGGGCGATTCAGAAAAGTAGGAAAGACATATAAATTATATAGTTAGTGCCTTTCAAGCCTCAAAATTTAAACATGAATTAAAAAAAAAAACTTCACATAGAGTTCACAGCTATCAGCCTACATTGTAAGCAAATATCTGTGTGGGTTGGGAGCTTTAGCTTTTGAGTGTTTTTTGTAACTAAAGGACAGAGTGTGTTGCACTGACAAGGTCCCATTCTTTCTATGAGCATAGTCCTTGCTGCCCACGAGTCTCTTCAACTTGACGTCTGTCTTAGGTGAAAATACTAACTTCGCTGGTTTTTGAGCAGGAGAGGTGCTATTTCTCCAGTCCTTGTAGATGAGGGAGGGGCTCACGATATTACCACCCCTCACTTCTCCCTTAAGAGAGGATGGCTTTAGAGCGCTGAACACCAATAAAATTATCAGCACTAAGAGACCTTCTCAGAGCAGCTCTGCACAGGTCTTTGTCTTCGCACAATCTGGAAATAGCCTAGGAAAGGCAATCAAATAGAACACAGGTACAGTTAAAAAAAACAAACAAAAAACAAGGGTTCCAACCTTCACAAAAAGCATCACTGATAAGCCACACATTCACACTCCTTTCTATAGTTCATAGTTACTGCTGCTTTGGGCAGCTGAGGTCTGCACTGCCAGGTTCTGGGGATGTACTTCCTGCTAATTCACTAAGGTGATAAGTCCTTTAGGGGCTATGATTAGATTGCTAGAGCAAAGGGGAACTTAGAATTATTTAAAAATTGGGTTCTCAAAGAAGTCAAGAACGTAATAGGCTCCTAACAGCAATATCATCTATGACCTGTACACTTGTTCCTTAAACATAAAGAGCATACACTTGGGCAAATCGGTACTTACTCAGCTATTCAATTTCTATCCAATCTTCATTAGTTATAATATACTCTAAGCAAACTTTAATGAGGTAAGTGTGTGCTGTACTTTATGGGAAGGTAGGGAAGGTCTAATGACTGAAGCACCATAAGGAACTATGTCACTTGCACATTAATTATGGTAGAAAAACGTCTTTTTCTAAAAGTATCTTCTAGGTACCACAGAAAATGTCCATTTTAAAAGAGTCCATTTCAGTTGTGAATAATTTTGTTGTATACTCACCAAAAGTCAGAAGCCATAAATATTACTTTGCAACCATGTACTTTACCATACCCATTAAAAACCCATGTATTTTCTACACCTAATATTTGAAACACACATTATACATTGTAAGTATATGTCTCCCAGGTTAGCCACTAGTACTAATAAACTCATGGGACTGAACCATGATATATATAGAAAAGACATGAATTTGCAAACTGAATTAAGAGTGGTAAGTAGATTCTGTATGTAGATATGATTAGTGATACAGTTATAAGAAATTATTCATGTACGGTTATAAAGGAAGGGTAGAGATTCAAATGGAAAACCATTAACAGATTAAATTTGATTTAAAACATTCTGAATTATGGTTGCAGAAGAGATCTATAATTTTTTTTTAAATGTGGGATCCTTGTAGAAACCATAAGACACATGATGTGAAAGGGTTATAAGCTCTTCTTCAATTTGTTAATTTAAAAAAGCTTTTCATTTTCCTAATCACTGCTTAATATGATTTATCCACAGATAGCTTTGGCAACTGACAGAAGCCCCATTTAGTGATTCCACAGCCTTACCTCTAGATTCTGGGCTCTTTCTCTGCTAAGAGGAGCAAATACAAAAGGCAGGTCGTTGTCATCAGCTAAGGAGCGAAGGTCAAAGTAGTATTTGGCATAAACACTGGCAGGAACATTAATATTAAACTGAAGTAGCTCTAAAAAATGCCTTTCCATCTCATTCCTGGGGAGGAGGAGGAGACAAAACCAACACAGGATAATTTTAGTCAATTGGACTACTATCTTCAAAAATATCATTATGAGCTACTGGGATGGCTCTAAATTTTGTTTTGAAACAAGTAAAGGCTACCCGGCTGTATGAATACACTAATGTTCAAACAAGGTACAGCTACTTGTGGTCCTTCCTGCATCCCAGCATTCTGGGTTCGGGACAAGGGGGAAGAGGTGACGGCCCTCTGTGCACTTGTGCTGCTGACTCGGGGCTCATTCTTCAGAGTTCCATTAGTGCAGCTGTACGCTTCCTGCTCCTCGCTCACTCACCAGGCCCCACTATAGTGCTCAGATGAAAGGAATGATGTATGCTGTTTATTAGCTCTGAAGAACTTGCAGACATTTTCACCAGGCCGATAACAGGAAGGGACTTATTGAAGTAGAGAGGCGCCAACAAAAGGAGTGGGCACATCACCACGGCAACAAATGGATGCATCGAGAGCCACTGCTATTATCCCTGAGGGGGAAAACTCTTGAAGCAGCAAGAATTCATCTCAAATAAATAAATAAATAAGCCACATTCGATAGGAAAGCCTCCCCCTACCCCAGTGCATGGGGCTAATGTCAGAGGGCATAATGCAAATTTTTGTTCACCTTCATCTTATGGGGTGAGCAACTGTCACTATGACAGGTCAGGATGCACTTTTTAAACTGGATGGCAGAAAGATTACAGACAGATGTCTTGGCTGGACTAAACCCACTCTACGATATGACTTCTGATAGAGCAATCGACTCAAACTCCAACCTGTTTCTCCCATGTTGGGAATGCACAGCATTGACCTGAGGTGCTCAGCATCCACCCCCCTCGCCAGACAGATGGAAACATAGCCGCAAGGGGTGAGCTCAATCAAGTGTGGAAGGCAAGTTGGGAGCAGTGCTGTGCTATGTGACCACACTGCCATCACCTGCCAAGTGTTTAAATATAAAATTAGAGTAAATCATACTACTTCTACAGAAATCCCTTGATAGAATTAATTATATAGAAATAATACCTAAACAAACATGAGGCACTTAATTTTTTAATATATTCATTTTTTTAAAGCTTTAATAGTTTATCCATTGGACAGGTCAACAAAGGCTTGATGTTCTGCATGGAGAGCAGTCAGAATATGAGCAGAGATGAGGTTTTCTCATTTGGTGAACTTTTAACCTGACTGAACCTAATTCCAAAATTAATTTCCTATTCATATAGCCATAAGCCTATAGAAATGTAAATCAGATAATGTTTTGATAATCAGATAATTGGGACTTAATTTACTACAGGAATAAATGCACTTCAGTATCCCTTTTATGTTTTCTCCACTAATACATTTTAATTGTGTAGAAATACAGTACTTCATAGGATTAACATGTCTATTAATAGAGGTTTAATGACAGAAGAAAAGCATTATGCCTACAGAATATGCATATTCTGTTGTTTTTTGTTTTTGTTTTTTCAATGGCTAGATGGTTGAATAGCATACCATTTATAGGCACAGCGTATTTTCTGAATAGCAGCTGCTCAGTTTAACTTATTCTTTTGAAGGGAAATATATTCAAAAAAAGACACATAGATGTTGGAAAGTTTAAGAAAAAGCAGACACAATTTTTCAATTTAGACTCAAAATGAGATCATTACAAATAGTAGTCAACAGCAGGGGGATGAAACCAGTGTATACTAAACACTGTTGTAATGCCTTCCATTTTCAAAGATCATAAACAAAAGCAGCCTATTATAAACATAGCTCCTGGTGTTTCTGTTCATATACAAAAAGCATTTGTTTACTACTAGTCATCGGGTAGCTAGACATTGCCACCATTGCCTCTGGGGCTCACGTCTATGAAAACCCACACATTTCCTTGTGTGTTCTGATGTTATAACTAGAGCCAGAGCCCCAGCCAGTTGAGGTCCAGGTTTTGAGAAAAGTTCAGCTATCATCATGGCAGGGCTAGTGTTAATGATCACAAATTCTCCATCCTTCAGGGGACCAGTTTGAAGACCCATGATGATCAAAGTCACTTTAGCTTCTGCAACTCCTTAAAGTACTTCCATTTGTTTCAAATTCATTATTTGCTGTCACAGTGTTTGCTAAGAAGGCTACCAGCAATATCACCAAAACTACTCAGTGTATACTATTTTCAAAGTGGACATTTGTCCCAAAAGCCACTTTGACAGATACTGACAATCGCTGGGGTCCCTTCTCTTGGTCACAAGTATCCCCACTTCAGTTGTAAATACGAATTCTGGTGATTCTGAATGAGTCTTATCTGGAGTAATGAGCAAAAGCAACACAAACAAACTCTTGCCTCTGCCTGCTCTTCTTATGCTGTTCAATTATTATCAAGAGGAATTCTTTCACATTTTCCTAAATGCCACCGACAAAGAAAGACATTTTCACTGTCAGGTGGGCAGTTGGAGAGTCTGCTGGAAATACCTTTTGGCTCATCCTGCCCACCAACCTCAGGGCCCTTCAATGTGGCCAGATCAGATGCCCATGTTAAGTTTAGTGTTTCACTCTCATGCTAGCATGCCATCTCTAAGGAGCACACCCTCATGGTTACCTACAGCCCCCCACAATGCACCGCTGTGGTTGCTGAGTGCCGCAGGAAACTCAAATGGCATGGGCACTAGGTGGTGCCCAGTGATGCTTTGCCAACTGACTGAGAGGTAGGAGTTTCCTAACTCATCAGACCTATTTTTAAACACTTGCAATCCTCTTAAAAGGGCAGGCAAGAGCACAGGGATGAAGCCTTTATATGCAGCTAATTTTCCATCATGGTTTAACAACTGAACTTCAGATAAAAAGGAGGGAAAGACCAGTTAAAGCAAATATACAATGCGTGACTCAGGTTTAAGCTATAACCTCTCAATAGTCTAATGGCCTTAAGACATTAACAGTGGCCAAGCATTTATTTCAAGGGTCAGATGTATGCCCCTTAAAAATGGACTGGATCTAACAGATGGCTTTAAGTAAGTCACAGAGATATTTACTCTACTGTTGTTCTGGTAGTGAGCTTGTAAAATGTTTGTCAAAAACCACCAGAGACATAATTATCAAACAGACTAGAGGCCCGGTGAACGAAATTTGTGCACAGGTAGGGTCTCTAGGCCTGGTCCTCGATCAGGGCCAGCCAGGGCCTCCCTTCCTTCCATGCCGCCCCCTGGTGGTCAGTGCACATCATAGTGAGCGATCGAACTCCCAGTCTCCCGGTTGAACTCCCGAGGGACACTTTGCATATTAGCCATATATATATATAATTACTAGAGACCTGGTGCATGAAAATTCATGCACTGGAGGGGGGGGTCCCTCAGCCCGGCCTGCCCCCTCTCACAGTCTGGGAGCCCTCAGGGTCGGGAGGCGACCCGGTGATCAGGGGAAGGCAATGCCCCCATCACACCTCTACTGCTGCCACTGCCAGCAGCGCAAGCCTCAGCCAGCCCTGGTTACCTGAGCCTCGGGTGGCCCTGGGCAGCTGGGCAGCCACCATCCAAGGCTTGCCTGCGCCTTGGGCCAGCCCTGGGCGACTGGGCAGCCGCCATCCAAGGCTTGCCTGCGCCTCGGGCTGGCCCTGGGCGGCTGGGGGGGCCGAGGGGACTAGGGGACTCTGGAGGCGGGCGGGCCCGGCCTTGCCATGCACCTGCCACCCCGACGGGACTGAGGGGACTGGGCACCACCATCTTTGAGGGTGTGGCAGTCAATTCGCATATTCCTTCCTTATTGGCTGTGGGCGTAACCATCTTTGAGGGCGCGGCACTCAATTAGCATATTCCCTCTTTATTAGTTAGGATTACAACAACACATCAAGACCTAATGAATAATGAGGAATATGAATTATACCAGATGTATAAACAGAAAGAAGTATATAATTTTATGCCTCTTTCAGTTCTCTGCACAAAGTAACCTTTACAAATATTTCTTAACATATAAACTTTATGGGAACAAATGAGGTACTGGAAACTGGTTAGAAAATTCACCAAAACCTTACAAACTCACATGTCCTCAACGGTAATGTCCTTGAGGATCTGGCAGTAGTCCACATTCCATACAGCCTGGTCATCCCAAACCTTGGAGGCAAGAAGAACAGCTCCCAAAACAATTCTCTTCCAGTTTGTGGGACAAATGTCGATCTCGGCATAAGTTAAAAGTCTTTCTAAGTAAACCTGCAAAAGTAGAGCACTGTCTTTGATTTCAGATCAGTGTAAGTGCTGTGATAACAACTCTTAGGAATGACAGATTTCATCTATTTTTTAACATGTCTTTTATTCTTAGGTTCTACAGAGGCTGCTTGGCCAGCCAAAGCCAGAAGCCACGTCACAGTTGCAAATCAGATACTTCTGTTGCCTACTTTGCCCATGTAAATTTCCAGCTCAATTTTTGGTCACAGGAATGAATGTACATCTTAGCAAAGGTCCTCCTGAAGAAATGCATTGTATATTACCTCTCCACTTGAAAAGGACAGCATATATAGGCCCAGTGTAGATTCAAGTTGCTCAATAAATACTGGAGTGCCTACCACATACATTATTTCATACCTGCTGGTAGTTATATGGTGATTTTCAAAATACTTGAACATGTAAATTCCTAATAATACTGAGCACATTTCGATCTTTTCACAGTAACTAGTCCTTTTGTGATGCAGGTTGAAAATAAAAACTGGGTCAATGGAGCCTCCCAGTGGCTGCTGTGTGGTGCAGCAGGACAGGCAGTACAAGCAGGTGTGCTTAAGACTGGACTGTACAACTGTCAGGTCTTCCCGTTTTAGTGCCTTTTATAAGGAACACACATGCATACAAAGGACAGTCCTTCTCATATCCCCCAATGCTCACATCTCCATGATCCTTTTGTGAAATTCATCTCTGTCTTACATAATCTGAAACTTAGTGTCAATTCTGTTGGATTCTAGGTGGTAACAGAGCTGCCAGCCTCTGTATCCCTGGTACTCCTAAACCTGCCAGGTAGCTTGTGAGATTTCTTTTACATGCATTAAATGTCTATTCTACAAAGAACTCAGAGAAGTTAATGGCTGAGTAAAGATTATAGAGGTAAGCTGTGATTTGTTGTTACCTCAAAGGTTGCTTTGCAGAAGAGTATATACTATGCTATTTGACAAAAAGAAAAAAGTCCAATTTTAAAGAGTATGTTTAGCCCTAACTTGTTTGGCTCAGTGGATAGAGCGTTGGCCTGCAGACTGGAAGGTCCCAGGTTCGATTCCGGTCAAGGGCATGTACCTTGGCTGCGGGCACATCCCCAATAGGAGGTGTGCAAGAGGCAGCTGATCGATGTTTCTCTCCCATCGATGTTTCTAACTCTCTATCCCTCTTCCTTCCTCTCTGTAAAAAAAATCAATAATAAAAAAAGAAGAGTATGTTTAATGTCTGAAAGTTATCAGATTGACAGCTCAGATTTGCCAATGTTCTCCAAACTCAACTGTGTTTTCAAAAACAAATGGTTATTGAACATATGTTCTTAGTGAAATTCTGCACTTATTCCACAAAACTCAGCACTCTAAGAATGAATCTCCTTGCAAGGTTCAATTCTACTTTATAGAAAGTATCAGAGGCACTTACACAACACTGGCATTCTCTCAACTTCCTGTCATCTTTACTGGCAGACTTGGAAGTGCCATTATTCATTCATTCACACCACTTGCCCTCCTGTGTCAGTGGAAGTGACATTTCCCTTCTCACTGAAGCTAACTCTTCTATCAGTGAAGTCCATCCCATCCCATGTCTGCAGAACACTGTTCCCACATTTACCTTTTTGAAGAATACTCTGTCTAATGCTTTCTCTGCATTTGGACAGTTACTCTCGTTTCCCTACCTATAGCTCAGATTCATGCTCTAATTCCATATATTCAAATGATCACCAGACACTGCCACCTGCTGTCTCACAGGTACATCTAGCTTAATGTGTCTAAAAAGAACTCCCCCACCTCTCCCAGCTCAGATGCTCCCCTTCCTGTATTACCTAGCTCTCTACATGGAAGCACCGCTCCTGCCATTCTCCAGCACGTGCTATGCACTCCAAACAGTTGATAGCTCCATGAAGAGGCTTGTGTCTGACCCAGTGCCTCACTAAAATTTTAACAGGGTACTAAAGGAAGAGGCCTTGACCTCAGTATTCTTTCCTTCCATACCATGATGTTGACTTTTCCCTTTAGGTTTGCTGTAGGAAGGGGTAATATAATTCTAACCACTTCTCAATAGAATAGGACTTATTCCAAATGATAAAATCTTACCATAGGAATTTTGTATGGATGACACCCAGGTCCTCACACAGCTGTAGCTTAGCAGGCAACTAGCAAAGCCTTTTCAGGTACTACTGGCACTATAATCCTGGGCGACTTCAAAGGCAGGCACAAGAGGACGGCAGGGATAGATTAACACCCATCATCCAAGGAACAGAGAATTTAAAGCTATCGTTTTCAAGCAGGACATATTAGAACTGCCTGGAGAATACAACCTGGGACTCAACTTAGACCTACACTGATTCAGTCTCTGCTTGGGGACCAGATGGTTTGTATTGCGCCATTCTACCCCACCAGCACACCTTGTATGTGTGCAAGTGTGTGCACTGCATGCGCGTGTGTCTCCTGAGGTGTGGAGAGGAAAAACAGAAATTTCTCCTGCTGCTTTCAATAGCAATTGTTTGTGATGAGAAAAGCAATAGCAACATTTTAAATCATGATTATTTAGCTTGAATTTGTGTATTTTACTTCCTTTGATAGGTTTCTCTTAATAAAGTCTTAATGATCATTTCAGGAACCTATTTTTATTTCAAAAACAGAACCATACCCTGTGTACAAGACAGAAAAGATGCTTTTTGAAAGAAAAACTATCTTACCAAAGTCACTATCGCACATTCAGCTGTTAGCTGTGCAGCACTGAAGAGGGTCCGAACAAATCTGTAAATAAATTTGTGTTCAGGATCATGCCTAAAATATTCCTCCGGAACTGTTTCTCGCTGAAAGGAGAAAAAAATGCAATATAAGTATCCAGGGAAGAAAAATACCTAAGTGCTCTTATGATAGCGGTCTTCTATTTGTGCCCACATGTCCCTTAAAATAACATTTTTATTGGGTGACATGTCCTTTTTTAATTTTTAAATATATTTTTATTGATTTCAGAGAGGATGGGAGAGGGAGAGAGAGATAGAAACATCAATGATGTGAGAGAATCATTGATCGGTTTGCTTCCTGCATGCCCCCAACTGGGGATCGAGCCTACAACCTGGGCATGTGCCCTTGACCAGACTTGAACCCAGGACCCTTCAGTTCGCAGGCCAACACTCTATTAAACTGAGCCAAACCAGCTAGGGCATGACATATTTTAGTCATTTATATATAAACAATGGGATCTTAAAAAATAATAGTGATTCAATACTCACCACCACCATTCATTAAAGAAAAATATAGGCACAACCTCAGATAATTTATTTGTTTTCCTTCTACCTTTCTGCTACAGAATTTTATTTAAATGTAAGTTATTTTTAAGCTCAAAAGTCTTGATTACCATGTCATGCTTCTCTGCAATCAACTCTGAAAATAATTTTGTTTCCTGTAACCACCAGGTTTAAGGTTGTACTGCCTTATACAGTAATCACCAGCCACATACTGCTATAGAGCATCTGAAGTAGTGAATTTGAAAGTATCTGTCTTTTTAATTAACTTAAAATTTAAATAGTTATTTAATTTTCTTCATAGAGATGTTAACATCTCTATTAAGTTTATTTACAAATATTTATATTGTTTGATGCTACTGAAAATTATCTTTTACAAAGATACACTTTGGGGTTTTTTGGATCCATTTACTTATCTTAGCTCACTAATTATACAAAGCTGCAACTCAGTTCTTACTGACATATCCCTTATAAAACACTTCTTTTGTAAAGTAATTAGATACAACATGGGGTGGGGAAAAGGATTTAAAAGAAGATGACTTTGACTTCAACCTGGGAGTAATTTTCTTTTAGTAATTAATTTCAAAGCAAATCAGCATGAAATAAACACAACTGTATGAGAGAAAAATACAACTTCAATATAAAACTGACTTACTGTGAGTGGATGTGATCTCTCATCGAAAATATCCAAGGATCTATTTGCATCTCTAAAAAATAAGAATATGTTTTTTTAAAACTAATTCAGAAATTGATAATATCTTAGCAACACAACTGCTGGGAGTAGAGACGGGTAGAGGGAGAAGCTTAACCTTCAATAAAGCAGTTTTATAAATTCTTCTCTTGGATTTGGTAAGGGGGTTTTCTGATCTCTTTACTCAGCATATCAAATTCTGTGAAATCATTTCTATGATGGCCAGCTAGAGTTGCCTTAATAAGCATTGACCCTCCCTAATGGCAATGCTAGTGAACCAAACACATTTGACTCCTCTGACCTTACAGTGGAACACACACAAACATTTTATAATGCGGTAGTAGTAGACAATGTCATCCTTAGAATTTTAATTCATGTGAATATGAGAGTCATGTTTTTCCCTTTCTTTTTCTCTTACTAGTTTCTTATACACAGACACCCTTCCAGCCCCAGCACCACCCCAGGTGCGGCCGGCCAGGGAGGGACCATGGGAGGTTGGCTCCAGGGCGTGTCTGGCCATCTTTCCAAGTCCCAGTCCCGCCCTGCTGGCCTGCGGGGATCAGGCGAAACGGGCTCTCTGACATCCCCCGAGGGGTCGGGGATTGCGAGAGGGTGCAGGCCAGGCCAAGGGACCCTACTGGTGCACGATGGGGGCCAGGGAGGGAACACAGGAAGGCTCCAGGGCGTGTCAGTCCCCTCTCACCCATTCCCAATGGGCTAGACCAGGGGTCCTCAAACTTTTTAAACAGGGGGCCAGTTCACTGTCCCTCAGACCGTTGGAGGGCCGGACTATAGTTTTAAAAAAAAACTATGAACAAATTCCTATGCACACTGCACATATCTTATTTTGAAGTAAAAAAACAAAACGGGAACAAATACAATATTTGTATTTGCATGTGGCCCACGGGCTGTAGTTTGAGGACCCCTGGGCTAGACCCCCAGCAGCAAGCTAACCTACCAGTCAGAGTGTCTGCCCCCTGGTGACCAGTACGCATCATAACGACTGGTTGAACGGTCAAACGAATGGTCGGACACTTCGCATATTAGGCTTTTATTATATAGGATTGTTATTATGTATTTCTTGTCTCTTAAATAGTTTAAGTTAAAAATTTGCCTTTTTATTTTAAAAGTGACTAGTCTTTTGATTTAAATGTTCACCACACTAATACACTCTGCTCATTTAAAGAGTGGTGCTCCAAGTATATTCTGTAGGCCTCTGGGGTTCCTTCTCAGGAAGCCCATGAGGTCAAAACCGTTTGTTGTTTTTTTAATATATTTTATTGATTTTTTACAGAGAGGAAGGGAGAGGGATAGAGAGTTAGAAACACTGATGAGAGAGAAACATCGATCAGCTGCCTCCTGCACACCCCCTACTGGAGATGTGCCGGCAACCAAGGTACAGGCCCTTGACCGGAATCGAACCTAGGACTCTTCAGTCCACAGGCCGAGGCTCTAGCCACTGAGCCAAACTGATCAGGGCCAAAACCGTTTTTATAGGAATATTAAGGCAGTGCCTGCCTTTTTTCTGACATTTGCAATCTTCTATCTATATATATAAAAAGCTGAGCGACCAGCCGGTAGCTATGACATGCACTGACCACCAGGGAGCAGACGCTCAATGCAGGAGCTGCCGAGTGACAGCAACTTTGCAGAGTACCCTCTCACACTCCAGGCCCCCTTGGAGGATGTCGGACTGCTGGTTTCGGTCTGATCCCCGCAGGCCAGGTCAAGGGACCCCACCTGCTGGAGGGACCCTGCTCACTCCGCAGACCGCAGATGCCCTTCGAGCCCCGGCGCCACCCCAGGTGCAGCCGGCCAGGGAGGGACCGTGGCAGGTTGGCTCCAGGGCGTGTCCGGCCATCTTGCCCAGTCCCGCCCCACCAGCCACCTTCTGATTAATTTCCTTTCAATGTGCACGAATCCGTGCACCAGGCCTCTAGTGATTGTATAAAAGCAAAAGTGAGTAAAACTGATTTCTGAGCGTGAATCAAGGAAGTGGAACCACACTATACTAGTAGTCATTCTATTCTTCACCGCCACTTGCAGTTGGAAAAAAAACTGCTTTGCTTAAGAACATCCTTGATAAAGCAGTAAAAATTTGTAGTGTTATTAAAGTTTGATCATTCTCCTTATATTTTGAATAAATGGAAAGTATGCATTAAGCACTTTTGCATTCTAAAATGTGGTTGTGTTAAGGAAAAGCACTTCTGACTTAGTTGTGAGCTGAAGAAGCCTTTTTTTTTTCATAGAATAACATCTTTATTTGATAGTACAACTGTCATTCTCTCAAAACCAAAAAATGAGCCTGGCACTTCAAGGAAAATAATTTGTATGTTTGTTGCCAATGACACAATTCAAGCTCTCAAGCTAAAAGTCAGAATTTGGGAAAATATGTACCTTCTTTTGTGAGCTTGACAGCTTTTCAATACTTAAGATTGGTGGTGATACTAACAAAAGTGAGCTTTTGCCACTTTATAAAGAAATGTGAACCAATACTTTCCAAATGACCAATACATAATATTATAATAAAATCATGTGCAAATAAAACATTCATTAAACATACAAGATAGCCAGAACCGGTTTGGCTCAGTGGATAGAGCGTCGGCCTGCGGACTCAAGGGTCCCAGGTTCGATTCCGGTTAAGGGCATGTACCTTGGTTGCGGGCACATCCCCAGTGGGGGGCGTGCAGGAGGCGGCTGATCGGTGTTTCTCTCTCATCGATGTTTCTAACTCTCTATCCCTCTCCCTTCCTCTCTGTAGAAAATCAGTAAAACATATTTAAAAAAAAACAACAACAAAAAAAACCCACAAAAAAAACATACAAGATAGATCAATGGGTATTAATTTAACAAATTACCTACTATAAGTTTGTGGATATGATTTTAAATTACATTGTAACTAATGGAATTAGTCCAGCACTTACGGACTTTTGGCATGGTATCAAAGAATACCCACAATTATTTGAAGGCTTTAGAAATACACAATTTTGTACCTATATAACTACATGAGACTGGGTCTTCTTCATGTTGGTTTTTCAAAACAAATGATTGAAGTAATTGCAAATGATTGAAGACAGAGCATACATGAAAATCGTCTGTCTTATAGTAAGCCAGACATTAAATAGATTTGCAAAAATGTAAATAAATGACACCCTTTCCACTCATTTTTTTTGTTGAGAAAAATAATTATGTTAATACTATGGTCCTCAATCGGGGTGATTTTGTCCCCCAGGGGACATTTGGTCAGGGCTGGAGAGATTTTTCTGGTGTCACAATGTGAACTGAGGAGAGGCTGTTATTGGCAACTATAGAGTAGAAGGCATAGAGAGGCCAGGGATGCTGCTAAATATCCTCTAATGCACAAAAATATCCAGTTCAAAATTTCAAGAGTGCTATAAAAATCCTGTTTAAACATACAATGGACTTATTTTTAAATTCTCAATTTTAATTTCTAATACAAACAAATACTCTTTGGGATCCACAATAACTTAAGCATTAAGAGTCCTAAGACAAAAACAAATGATTCACTTCAATAATGTAATAAAAGCACTCTACAGTTCACTCCAATAATGTCTATAGTTATTTCCTAACACTAAACTTGATAGCTTGTAAATTTACTGCTAGAATAACAAGACAGGTTTTTAAACTCACCTGTTCTTTATGTGGTAATATATTGCTAACGTCACACTGTGGAGGAAAAAAAATTGTAACAATTGTAATTTTAATATGTTAGGTATGAACACATTTTTAAAAAGGGGTTAGAGTAGGGGAAGACCTTCCCAGATGCCCAGTGGCCTTGAAATCCTCATTCAGAACAGTATCCATATGGGTACTTTTCCCCTTGTTTTAGTTCTTTGGCTTTTAGCAAAAATAGGAAAACCAAAATGCGAAGTAATATGCTGTGAGAAGACATGTTTGGGTTGATTATTAAAATATATAAGTTATTACATATTTCCCATCATTTGCCCTTTCACCCATAGAACCTTTCATTCTGTACAAGTTATATTTGTGCACATGCTTCAATTTAAGCTATACAGTAGTTTTTGTGCTTTTTAAAGAAGGTTGTTAGGCTCTGCATTTCAGTTTATTTAGTTCACTATCCCCCTACCACCCATTTCCATCATTTCTGTAAAGGCAAATAAAGTGCTCTATATCAAATAAAATCTTAAGAGCAAATATAAGAACCCACAAAGTAAACAGTCTATCCTGAAATAAGCAGTGCTAACAATGCAGCATAATACTACAGTGTAACATTTAATAAGTTACTACCAAGGTAGCCTAAAATGAAATATTAATGAGCAGATGTAAATCCTCAGATACTGTGTAAGTTATTGTATTCCTAACTGAATAACTGTATGCTATTCAACGATATTGTGTACTACACACCAAAGGGGTTTTCTTGGTTAAGTTATATGCTTTTCCTCTTTGTCCTCAAGTGTCTAAAATGAAGCTCAAAATAATTGAGGGAAGGCAAATCTGAACTTTATAACTAGGTCTATATAATATTAGCACTTGTAAAAAAGGCTCATACTATTGTTAGCATCAAAGATGGATACTTCTATAGTGCTTCAGTTTCATCTCCAAATTGATTTGAAAATCACAGAATTCAAAGCATAAAATTTCAAAGCTGAAAATGACCACTGAACCTTAGATAACATTTAATTCAACAAACCATTTTACAGAAGGCAACCAAGGCTTACAACTGACTTGCTCAAGGACCCACCAATAACTAGAAGCAGTTCTCTTTCCCCTACAGGCCAACCAGGCAGTGGTTCCCAAGCTTAGCTGTACACCGGGATTATCTGAGGAGCCTTAAAAACTGCCTGTTTCCACCTCTAGATGTTCTGATTTAAATGGCTTGGGATTCTTTTTAAAGCTCCCCGGGTGATTGCAATGTGCAGCAAAGTTTGGTAACACGTGAAATCAGGGTTAAGATCAGAATCACCCTGGATACTTTTGCTCATATAATCATGCCAAATTCCTACTGATTACAGGGGGAAGGGGAATGGGCGGAGGGGGAAGAGGGCCTAGAGGAGATAAACAGTGATGGAAAAAATAAAATAAAATGATCAGAATCACCCTGGATGCTTCTGTTCATATAATCATGCCTCACAGCCTTCCTCAGCTTATCAAAAGGCTTGTGGAGAGTGAGAGTGTGTGTTGAGGGAGTGGGGGGAGATGCATGATTTAGAGAGATATTTTGGGAAAAAGTTGCATAAGTGATTCTAATAAGGCTCACCCACCCCACTGAGAACAATGTACTACTATCCCATGATAAACATTTTTCAAAATCATCCCTAAAAGTCAAGTAGCTCTATTAATTTTCTCAACCTTTATTTCACCAATAATGAATGTACTGAATGATCATTTTCAAAACTTAATGAGATCAAATTAAAACTTACTGTACTTTCAAAAATTACACTAATTTGGAGAAATAAGTATGAAACCTACTTGTCTGAGCAAGGTTAATCTTTATATGCTGTAACATCAGAATCTTTTGAATTCAAAAGAATCTACAGAATGCAGCCAACGTCAAGTGGTTTCTTACTCATGATTTAGTGCCTTGGCTGAATAAAAATATTCAGTGATTACTCAATAGGTGCCAAAGCTCAGGACTTTAGAGAGAGATGAGGCTCCATTTTTGCCAAAACACAATTTGATCTTAACTATTGTTATAAGTAAGAGAAGTTCTATTATTATGATTGTGAAATTGCTATTTTTAATTAAAGTAAAAGTACTGATAATTTAATTAGCAAAGAAGCTGGTACATTAGAAGCAAAATTAAATTTATGAGCTAATTACGTTTTTAAGACTGAAAAATAAAATTAGGGATGAGGATATCAATATTTTCAGACAGCATGTCCCAAACTGTGTTCTGGAAAATAAACACTCATATTCCAAGAAGACTTTGATTATATTCCTTGGACAGCTCCAGTGGGGAGTCAGGAAGCTCTACATCCTGTTTTGGTTTAGTTCCCTTTTAAATATGCTTGAAAGGTTCATATTAGGGTATTTTTAAAGTGCATCTCCACCAATTGTGGACTATGTGGTGCTCCCAGAAATATATGAATAGTTTTCATCATCATGACACGCTGTTCATGTTTGCTTAAGTATAAACCTGACAATGGCTATGTTTCCAAAACTTCACCTTTCTCATTTTTTTTCTGTTGTGATTTTTGTTATACATGGATTGATTTAGGGTCTTAGAGATATATACTGATTTCATGCATTTCTCCCTCTTTGGGGGATAGAAAGGAGAAGTGAATTTTTATACAGAAATAGTGCAGAGGGAAAAATGTATAATGGGGAAAATCTGACAAAATCCAACTAAATTTAAATGCACATACACTCTGGTGCCAGTAGGGGACAAACTGTTCCTCCTTCCAAGAGTAGCTTCCAAAGTAGTACTCATTGTTTTAGGTCTATGTCTCATAAAGAAATATTTTTTTTCCTAGAAACATCCAATAAAAAGCACCTCTCCTTTTCATTATGTTCAACAATGTCTTAACAACAGAAATGTTATCAAGTAAAGATAAGTAATTTTTCTGGGATTTCTTATTTGCTAACTGGCCTTCCTTTCTTCCATCCACTCTAAGGTTAAAATAAAAATTGAAAATTCATATTTAGGTCCTTGAAATCAATATATAGTTGGCATCAGTTGCTTAACCTGGTCACTAAAAAGGACAATCAAATGACTGAAATTATGTGTGGCTAGGATGCTTTTAGCATAACGGGGTCTGTCACTCAGCCCTTGGCAACCTAGTTGTACTCACCATTGTACTGTGGTTCTAAGATTAGGCTGGCTGACTGTGCTGTCATCTAGAAATATAGTTGAGCATGAGCTATATTTTTTAGTAAGGTGCCCTGGAGATACCTGAAGGGGAAGGGAAATAGAAGAAAATGTCACAGTAAGTTAAACCTATAAAAGTGTGTTTTTTCCTTGGTTAAAATGTCAAACAAGCATTAAGATTCTTCTTATATTCCATGAACTGCTTACAGGGAATCCCCCTCATTAAAAAGGAAACTTCTCTAGGGAAGGGAGGACTTGTCTCTTCTCCTACCTCTAGCTGCTGAGCACAGAATCTGAGACAAATTAGAAGTTCAACTAGTGTTTGAAAAATTATTTGAAATTAATTACAACTGGAAGGTAAATCTTAACTACAAATACAAATTAGAATTTATCTGCAGTGGTATTGGAAAGGTGACAATGAACTTTTTGAGGCCCTCTAGAGAATAAGCTATCTTCAAAACACTTTAGAAGTATCCATTTATTTTAGAATTATCCATTGATTTGTAAAAAGCCCAATAATACAGCAATAATCAAATACTGAAATAGCCTAAACTATGTTAGGACAATTCTCTTCCTTAAAGGCCAATAACTAATCCCAATCACTGTAAGTAGCTGAAAGTAAAAGTAGCATTCTCTAATATTACAGAATAGCAACAATTTTAATATGCTTGGTTTTATTGTATTTTAAAAAAACTAATTCAGATGAGCCTTCCTTCCTTGTATCAATATAAAATAGTTTTTATCATGCTGCCATACTTTCCCATCAGTATGCCCCACAAATACTCAAAATATGGGGTAGGGGCAAAATCTAGTTGATGCCTTTTAAAATACAGAACATTTTAAAAATTGCCAATAGCCAATAATCAGAAATATCTATATATTATATAAAACACCATTTCACTTGTTTCAGATGTTTCACTGCAAAGCCACTTATTCCTTATTAACCAAAAGTTCCAGAGAGTGCATTTTTGAAAAGTAATATTTGAAGGGACAAATTCTCCTTGAAACTAGAAATGCTTTAACTATAGCTAAAACTGTTACTTAAGCTATGCAGTTAATGTAATTTACTTTTGGGAACATTCAACACTTGCTCATCACTCCAGGCCTACTCCCAACTATTCAAACTTTCAGGATCAAGTATCTAGTATTCACTACAGGGTGGCAGAATTAAGACTCTAAGCAAAGCCTGGATACACTGGCGCCAGCAGGTTCCTTTCCCCTTATCTTGCTTGAAAACTTAAGACAAATGTCCTTTACGGTTAAAGCCTTACTATTGCTGGCCTACAACCTCAAATACACTACACTGACAAACATAAAAAAAATGCAAATACAAAAAAAAAAAAGAAAGAAAATTAAACAGCCAAAACACTACTGACAATTTAGTGTTGATAGGTATTATTAAAGTTAGTCACTAGGATAGACAGGGACAAAGAGTCATACTTTATCTTCCTTTAACACTAATGACAGAATAGATGGACTTTGACAATCTTTACAAGAAAGTGAAGGGCTTGCTAAGTAGACTACGGTTCAATGGCAAAGACTAGAAAAATAATCATACCTAGAAGTCTAATAAGTCACAATCCAAACCCTACTATTAAAGGTCAAGTACCTGCTGAAATTCTGCTTCCACCCATTGTGCTCACTGCCTCATCTTAACCCATTAAAAAATAAAGCCATTTACTTTTTTCTACTTTTTCACAAGTTGTGAATATTAAGAATTAAGGACTTTTAATTAACTTAAAAATTTCTAATACTTTCTGCATTAATGAAAACTGCTCCATCTATGTTGCATATAAATGGGACAATATGGCAGGGTACATGGTTTAAATAGAATTCTTAATTAAGGCTTTAGTAGAAAAGTGTAGTATGCTAATTATAGGTATAGCCAAAAATATTCTCTGAATTAATATCATTATATTGAATTAAAACTTTAAACTTAGAACCTATATTTATTTTTTGTAATGATTTTTTTTTTTTTTTTAGCAAGAAAGGAAGTGAGAGGGTAGAGAGGTAGAAACTTTAATGAGGAATAAACATCAATCGGCTGTCTCCTGCACACCCCTTACTGGGGATCAAACCCACAACCCAGGCATGTGCCCTGGCGGGGAACTAAACTGGTAACCTTCTGGTTCATGGGTCGACACTCAACCACTGACTCACACCGGCCAGGCTAGAACTTATATTTAAAGTGCAAATCTAAGTTAAACATGATGGACTGACCACAAATCTATTTCCTCTCCCCTTCCTTTCAGAGATATCTCATTAGAATTAAAGGCATAAAAAAAGGTTATACACAATATAGGAGAAAAAAGCATGTGATTTTTAATGTTTGAAAGCTGAGGACTAGATAAAGGAGTGGTAACTGATATGGCAGAACAGAAGAAGCACAAACTTGGTGCCTATAGAGAGTGGCTGGGACAAGAATAAGAAAGCCAGTTTATCTGACAGAACCAAAGGCTGGTTCCAAATTCAGAGGCTTGATCCCAAAATCCTGCAATGAGGACTATCAGTTAACAAAAGTCCTGCTCACTCCTGGTGCTTCCAATTACATCTTAACATACAGCCAGGGACCACCACACATCTAAGGAAAGCCAACAAGCAAGAGAGATCGAAACAGGAAGAAGGAAATTAATGGGAGTGACAAAATACAAGAGCAAATGAAAAAAAAAATTCTTAACCTCAGAAAGACAAAAAATTGCATTGGTGGAAAAACTAATGCTATAAAAAAAAAGAGTGACAGAATATAAGAGAACTCAATAAATTAAAAAGATAGACAAAACAAAGAATTAAATAGAAAGGTTGGAGCATAAAGTCAAACAAATCTCTAGGAAGTAGAACAAGAAGAAATGGAAAATAAGAGGGGGGGAAAAGTTAGAAATTCATGCAGGAATACTGGTCTAAGAGTTCCAACTTCTGAGTAATACAAATACTAGAAAAAATAAATACAGAAAATATATATATTTTTAAATTCACTGTCATAAGTGAAGATCTGCAGGCTTAGTGGCCACACAAAAAAATGAAAAGGAACATACTAAACCATACTTATGAAATTTCAAAATTCCAGGAACAGAAGGTACTAAAAGCTTCCAAAAGGATGGGGGGAAATGATTAAAATTGTAATATACAATGTATCATATAATGTCAACAGATTTAAGAGCAACTCCGCAAATAAGAAAACAGTAGAAATGGTTTGGAACTGCAAAAATTAGTTGCAACCTACTTCTATACTTCAAATAGGAGGCACTTCAGAAAGGCCAGATCTCTAAAAACTTCTGCCTATGTACTCTTTCCAAGGGAAATGTGCTCCAATGAAACAAGGGAGTATAACAAGACAGAGGGAACATAGAATCGAGGACATAGGGGATCCAACACAAGACAGCAGTTATGTGAGATCTCAGATCACTTCAAGGAGATATGCCAGGAAAACAGGCACAGAGCAGGTCTAGGGAAAACCAGTTTATACTAGAGTGGGATGATAAAAGCTAAGGAATGTTGTTTCCAAAAAAAAAAAAATAAAACAGATGGAAAATATTTTTGATAGGCAGGTGACAAATGTCACAACATTTGGAGGGAAAATTGTTGTTAGAAAACAGGCAAGAGAATATAGTCAGGAAACTAATTCCACACACAGAGAAATGAGTAAGTATTAAGTTAATGTAGCATAAATGTAGTATTTCTGTCTGATGGTCATCTTTGTCAAATTGCTACAGAAAATGTGTGTGTGGTGGCGGTTGTGTTTTGTTTTGTTTTGTTCTTTCTTTGCAGCAGGGAATCCATCCTACTTACTGCATTTGGCTATGTAAAATCTTGGCTAGGAAGAGGGGGATTAGATTACCCTGAAAAAGTATAGAAGTGCCTAGATTTCAGTTACACTGGAGAAAAAGAATGAAGGGTATCCAAGGAAGTGGCACAGCCAGAGAACTATAAGGCTCAACAGTAAAAAATATTTGTATAGTCATAATAATGTAAACACTGATTCTTTAATAAAAACCGGGTAACATGCTGAGGGAACAGAGGGAGGGAAATAAGATCATGGTAGAGAAAGCTAAGTTTCACCTGCTATGACAGGAAGTCAATAAATAGTGCTAAAAATTAACTTAGCTATTATACTTTTTTGTTACTTTTTAAAAAAAATAAGATTTAAAAATTAAGGCCAAAAAATTATAAGGTATATCTTTAAACCACAACCATGTTATTGAAACTTAACTTAAATGTCAGAACCCTTTAAAAATGAGCATTACTAACCTGAAGACTTCCTGAATACATATTTGATAATTATGAAAACAAAAGAGATGTATAAAATCTACAAAGAGATGTCCATACTAACGGTACTGGGTCCATTATATTTTCTAGGAATCATCACAATTTTTATTTCAAACTGTTAGTTTCTTACTTAACTTTTCAACTGTTTACTTACATGGTTTACATAGTTGTTCTTCTTCTTTTCTCGCACTAAGAATAAAAAAAAAATTAACTGATCAATTCTGATACAAATGCCATAGAAAAGTAAAAGTTGCTGATTATGTGACGGATTACCAATATACAAAATTCCATTCCATTTTAAAAATAATTTTTAACAAAAATTATCATTTAAATCACCTGGCAAGATGAGCTCCACAAAGTAAATCTAAAAACTTAGTTTTACTTTTTGACCTAACAGATATTCTATAATAGGTACAAATGAAAGACTTTCCATGGACAGAAGAAAAGGCAGAGCAAATCAGGCCAGGTGAGAAACTTAGCTAATAAATGGTACTTGTTACACATCTGAACAACTACCCAGTAGTAGTTCTAATTCTACACTTATTCCCACCTTACTTGAATCACCAGGATCTAACAGTGGCAGCTCTAAGAACCAGTTTCTGGCCAGGCACTAACCCCTATTTGCACCAGCACTCCCAGAAGCATCCTGGACCAGTTATTGGTAATCCACTAAAATACCATACTAAAAAATAAATGTCGTGACTCAAATGGGAAGTAACCTATTTAAATTTAAATTTAAAAATGTGTGCTAACCTAACTGAACATATCTACAACACCCAAAATCGATTTGCTCTAACAAAGGCCAGAAGAACAAGAGCTCCAAAGAGAGTGTTGTTTCCCACACTCCTCATTTATGGTAGAATGGGCATCATAGACACACATTCCTTAGGACTGAAGAGAGGGGCATGGGGTAGTTTTTCCCTTTACTATTGCCACTTTTTCTCATGTGAGCCGCCCAAGGGTCTGGAAGAAATTAAGAAATACAGCAATTCTAACCAAAAATGATTGGCTCAAGACAGGCAAAATACACATACACCATGAAAAGGCAGGTTAGAAACCCCCATTTTTTTATTGTGCTACATCACTTCAAACAAAATAAAAACCTCACTTATTGTACTTCTGCTGTGGTAGTCAACTGAAAAACTGGTCATGTGTAGCTTTTTAAGCAAGTAAACTAGATTTAACATAACATAAAGGAGTATAATCAGGCAAGCAGGAGTGTTAAAATCCTACAGTTCTGGTTATCCTAAAACAAGCAGGACATAGGAAATGTACCCTTGCTGATGAGGCTAACCTTCTGGGCAACCCTAGAGGGCTATGTACCTTGGCACAATATTACATTATGATGACAAAGTTTTGAATAGCTTAAAAGTTCTGAGTAGCATGAATCTGGATGTGAGATAGCATCATTTGGTTGAGCACTATATAAAGTGGGGCAAAAATCACAAATTCAATCTTCATATATAAACTTATTTTTTTTTATTTGTTCAAAATGAAAACCTAACTGGGACCTAAATCCTATCACTCATCTTTAAAACGTATGCTCTTTGGAGCAAGGGGAAAAGGACATAGCTGTTTGGAGGAATAGGCCACATCTAAATCATGTGGCCAATTGACTGTGTTGATAAAGAGGTGGCAAAATGTGTAAACAGATAGCTACCAGTTCTCACTGAATACTTTCTCTAATACGAAAACAAAAAACAGTTTCAAACTTCTCGGAGGAAAAAAATATTGTCTTACCATCCGTTTGAGATTTATTCAAGAAAATTGTGCTTGCCCTTGGATGGTCAGAAGGGTTTGATTCCAAAGCTAACTCTGTATAAAAAGAAGAGAAAAAGACATGCTAATTTAGTTGAGTAGAAAAACATGATTTTAAAAACAGCTACAATATTAATCACTTTTAACAGTGTTAGTAATGATAACAAGCCAATTTTAGTAAAGGCAACAATATGAAAATTCTCCTGGAATATTAAACAATATTAATCACTTTTAACAGTGTTAGTAATGATAACAAGCCAATTTTAGTAAAGGCAACAATATTATGAAAATTCTCCTGGAAAAATGTAAAACTAGAATCATTTTATACATTGGAATAAAACCAGGCTATGTCTTAGACTTTTTTAAAAACTTGCACCTAAATAATTTGTCCAACTTTTACACGAATCATATGTGCTTTCCTCCTACTTATCGATTAAAAATACATAGTCCCCTCATTTATGCTGATATTACCAGCACATTCCAGGAACAGTCTCAAGAAGCAAATTACACTGTGGCCAGTTACTGTCAGATACCAACCAATATATTAAATATGCCAAAACCAAGTGAGTTGTTTTTGGCAAATATTCGTTAGACATTTAAGCTAATTCTAACTCTATTCAACAAATGAACTTATTTAGTTAGCTGTGGTTTATTTGGGGGCTATTCATCATGGCAGATTTAAAAGGAAAGCATAAAAGTTCAATGTTCTAATCAATAGGAACACTTTCATGATAGTGATTTTTAATACTTTCATAAAAGTGATTTTAAACGTTTTGCCCTCAATTTCCAAAGCTAAAAAGTTTTACTTCTTCCTTCTATGCCACATAATTATTTTGGGGCTTCAATAAGAATACTTTCTGGAGCTGGTCATAGGGCTGCTTGTAAAAAAACCTGTGCTGTACCTATGTAAGTGTAGGTCTGACTGCAGTCCACCTTGCACCAAGGTGGGATAATCTATTTCAGCCAGAATACAAAAAAGGTACTTACATTTCCATTAAACAAAGTTTGCCACCATACAAAATAATAAAGTTGTCATTAAAACAAACAAAAAATAAATCCCCTATAGTACTCAATAATGTCCAACTCAAACCACTTAACCAATCTTATAAGAAAGTGGACCAACATCCTGATAAGAGGAATGGTTAAGGCACTATTTCTCTAACCACATAATAACGGTTCTATTTTTTAAAAGGATGTTTGGTGGTCAAATCTAAATACACTATAACACTGTTACTCAGGGAATCAAAATGCACACTGCTATGTTAAAAACTAATCAGTCCAATAATGAATAATGTCTAACAGCATTTCACAAATTTATCTAACTAGAATACCTTTACCCTCCAAGTAATACAGTTATAATCTTGCACAAACATAATTTGGGACTTCCTGGTTTAACAGGAATCTGAACCATTCATTTTATTGGTACTGCCAGCACTGGAAATTTATAGAGCAAAACCAACTGCTTTGTTTTTTAAGGAAATTCCTTCAAGTTTATTAAACTGCTTCTGGAACTTCTATTAAACATTTTTATGTAAAAAGCCCATAAAGTTATTTTAAAGACTTTTTCCCACATATTTAAAAAATGAGACAATGTTAGCTACTTGAAAAATAAATTAATTCAGTTGACAAAGTGACAGGCAGAGACTTCCACAACTGCCTCTAACCTCAGGCTTCTGAAAGGATTCAGGACTATTTCCTACCAAAAATAAAGCAAATATATTGCATCTGAACCTAAAAAATAAGCAGAAATGTTTGCAGAAGTAGCCACATTATGTATCAGTGCCTATGGCATGATAAAGGTTTTTAAATTTAGTGATTGATTGCCTTAACCAGTGTGGCTAGGTGGATAGAGCGTCGGCCCTTGGACTGAAGGGTCCCAGGTTCAATTCCCGGTCAGGGCACATGCCCGGGTTGCGGGCTAGGTCCCTAATGTGGAATGTGCAGGAGGCAGGTGATCCATAATTCTCTCACATCATGGATGTTTCTATCTCTCCCTCTCTCTTCCTCTCTGAAATCAATAAAAATATATTTTAGCCCTAACCGGTTTGGTTCAGTGGATAAGAGCGTCGGCCTGCGGACCGAAAAGTCCCAGGTTCGATTCCGCTCAAGGGCATATACCTGGGTTGCAGGCATATCCCCAATAGGGGGTGTGCAGGAGGCAGATGATTGATGTTTCTCTCTCATCGATGTTTCTAACTCTCTATCTCTCTCCCTTCCTCTCTGTAAAAAATCAATAAAATATATTAAAAACATTAAATTTAGAAAAATAATAATAATTTAGTGATTGATTTTAGAGCGAGAGAAGGGGGAGAGGGATAGAAAAAGGGGTGAAGGGAAGGAGAGAGAGAAGGGAGGGAGAGAGGGAGAGAGAGGGAGAGAGAGACACCAATGACATCAATTTGTTGTTCCACTTATTTATGCATTCTTTGTTTGATTTTTGTATGTGCCCTGACTGGGGATTGAACACCGGTAACCTTGGCATATCGGGATGACGCTCTAACCAACTGAGCTACCTGGCCAGGACCTAAAATTTTTAATAGGAAGTCCAGGAAAAGTACCGTAATCAAAGGAGGAGGAGGCTTAAACACACACACACACACATGCAAAATCATGAAGGCTGGGATAAAAAAAGACAACGTGTAGGAAAAAAAGCAAAACTAACCCACGTGACAAGAAAAAATACGGGGCCCTAGCCGGTTTGGCTCGGTGGATAGAGCATCAGCCTGCGGAATGAAGGGTCCCAGGTTCGATTCCGGTCAAGGGCATGTACCTTGGTTGCGGGCACATCCCCAGTAGGGGGTGTGCAGGAGGCAGCTGATCGATGTTTCTCTCTCATCGATGTTTCTAACTCTCTATCTCTCTCCCTTCCTCTCTGTAAAAAATCAATAAAATATATATTTTTTTAAAAAGAAACAAAAAATATGGGAATCCCCCTACCCTACACAGAGAGTTCCAGAGTGGGCTCCTGCCCCAGGGCTGGCCAACCAATCACAGCTGCCCTGGGGCCTCCCAAGAACCAAAGGAGAAAGACAGAGCTGTACTCAGGATCCTTAGCTGGACTGGAGTTGTGATGCTCCCTTTTCCATCATGAGGAAGAAGCCTTTTCAGTAGAGATCAACAGGAGCAGAACTGAGACAAGTTCTGAGAAAATAATTTAATTCCTGGATCAAGATTTTTATTCTGTAAATTCTGGTTATATAAGCCAATACTTTTTTAAAAATTTAAGCTATTTTGCAATAGATTTCCTTCAACTTGCAACTAAAAGAGACCTGGTTAATCAGCAGCATGGATGATCACACTGAAGGTGGGAACAGGTAAAAGCCATTTGCTCACTCCTTTAACATATATCATAAACCAAAATTTGTAAGAGCCAACATAATGCTTTGTTTAAAAATTACCCATATAACCTCATACCTGTCAGAATGGCTGGCTATCATCAATAAATCAGCAAACAAGTATTGGCAAGGATATGGAAAAAAGAGAAACCTTGTGCGTGCACTGTTGGTTAGAATGCAGACTGGTGCAACCACTATAGAAAACAGTGTGGGGGTTCCTCAAAAAATTAGAAATGGCACTGCTTATGACCCAGTGATTCCACTTCTGGTAATATATCTGAAGAAACCTGAAACACTAATTCAAAAGAATATATGCACCCCTATGTTCATTGCAGCATTACTTAAAACAGCCAACATTTGGAAGCAACCCAAGTGGCCCATCAGTGGATGAGTGAATAAAAAAAGCTGTGGTACATTTACACAATGGAATACTATTTAGCTGCAAAAAGGAAGGAAATATTACCTTTTGAGACAGCATGGATGGAAAGAGGGTATTATGCTAAGTGAAATAAGCCAATCAGAGAAAGACAAATACCATATGATTTCATCTATATGTAGAATCTAATCAACAAAATAAACAAACAAAATAAAAACAGACTCAGATACAGAGAACAGACTGACAGCAGTCAAAGGGAATTGGGGTGGGTTGGTTAAAAAAAGGTGAAGGAATTAAGCAGTACAAATTGGTAGTTGCAAAATAGCCACAGAAATGTAGATTACAGCATTGGGAATATAGTCAATAGTATTGTATGGGGCCAGCTGGATATTTGAAGCAGTGGTACTAACCACTTCGCTGTACAACTGAAACTAATACAGAATAATATTTTTTTAAAAAAAAAGACGATATCCTTTTCTATAAAAATACCAAATTGAAAAAATCAATACATTAATATAAGCATATTGTTTAGGGGGAAATATTCCTAAATATTTTAAATAAATTTAAAAATTGAAACTTAAAAAATATAAAAATTACCCATATACTCACAACCATTACTATTAGTTGATTTTCTCATATGTACTTTGTTTTTAAAGAAAGCTGTAACCGGTATACAATTTATTTCCTATTGTGTTACAAGCGATCTCTACCTCATTGCAGCATATTTACTGTTTAATGTCATAATGGCCCATAACGTGTTATTCCCAGGATTTACTTAGCCAATCTCCTATTGGGGTTTAGGTACTTACAAAGTTCTACTCTTATAACACATACGGTGTTTTTTAAAACAAATTTTTTTAATCTCTGTAGGAAAGATCTTCAAAATAAGATGACTAGACCAAAAGATTAGATCATTTTCATGGCTCAATATATAATACAAAGTTGCTTTCTAAAAAGGGTGGCAGCATATTAGAGTATAATGCCACCAATCATACTAGTTTTAGCTCCTACTCCAGCATTGGATATGTGAAAAAAAGTCCTAGTGATGTGAATGAGGAATCTCATGGTCTCTCTAATCTGCATTTCTTTGATTATAGGTTGGCCACAGTTAACAGTGCTATTTCCACTTTGGTGAGCTGCCTATCATTTATATGTATTGGTACTGTATGTATTGTACCCATTAGAGACCTAATGTTGTCAATTCGCATGAGACTTTTAAAGTATTTTGCTTATAGCCTAAAACCATTTTATATATAACTTGTACTTTTTGCTAGTGACAAACACTGCATCGCTATTTGATAGAATGGATATTTAAGCCATGAGACAGAAACTCATACACACACAGTATTTCTGTACTCTCCATTAACTGTTTTC